GGTATGAAAGCTATTTATATTTAAAAATAACTTATCATGGTAATTGTTCTTACATGGTGTATTTATGCATGTATGGTAGGAATAGGTTATCTATGCTAATTTATTTATTGATCATGGACATTTTTCTAGCCCCAAAATATCTGTTTTTCACTACCGTTGAAGTATATTCAGAGGGTAGACAATAATCTCTATACTTCAATGAGGTTTTATTTAAACACAATCACCAAAGACTTTGACTCTGATCCACATATTATTGAATTGGTATTTATTTCGATGTAAAAAATATAATATAATTTATTGCTTTATATTTTAAATGTTGAATTAAATATAGTTAATGCCTGTAATACTATTTAATTCCGATCGGCCAAACATTATCAACAAAGAGATCATAGAGTATGTAGTAATCAATATTAATTAATTATAAGCAATTATTAATACAGAATATTCTTGTTATTTACATTATAGACAACAACAACAGCTATACATGTATTTACTTCAGAAGTATTTGCGTATAAAATATGGCAACGATTTTGATGACAAGAATTCAAAAATATTACAAATTCTGCGATACATTCAAGTGTTTAATGAATTATCAAAACAAAAGTATAGAGAATTAAAGTCTGAATTCTGTTCACCGCTTCTTAAAGAGGTTATAGATTTGCCACCAAATTGTTAATTAATTGTTAATTTTGTTATTTTATATTAGTGCTGTAATGTTTATTAACTGTATAAATTACATTGTATTAATTTTATTTATAAATATGTTAATTAAATAAATGATATAATTTATTTGTCATTCTTGATCATGCATATTCAAAATTAGCAATAACAAACTTTTTCATGCATACATTTTGTATTACAATTTAAACAGCATTGTAATAGTAAATAAAATTTAATGGCAAATAAAACATATCAATTACACAATTATAAGATTAGTTTTAATTATTACTTTCATATGACATTTACTAGAATAACATGTATTATATTTATTTATGATTAGATTACTATTTCAAAGGTCTCCATAAAAATAGATAAGATTATAGTATAACTATTGCACTCCCATAACAAAATCACTTTTATTTTAGACAATATTAAATGAATACAACTTATAATTTACCAAATTGATAAATTATATAACAGTGTATTTTAATAATTAAAATATTATTATTTAAACAGTACTTTTGAGAATAACTAATACAAGTAATTAATTGTAAATAATGCCGAGATATAAGAAAATAAAGGGTAAACCCAAGATCTGTGTGGTTTGTGGTGAAAAAGCGACCGGTATGAATTTAATTCAATCAATATTCATTTAATCTATAGGGTTATTAAAATTTTAAAATACTAACCATGATAATTATTTCCAATATATAAGGCTATAACTTTTGTGCCATTACTTGTCAGTCGTGTAAAGCATTCTTTCGTAGAAACGCCTTCAAGTATGAGGTATAAGAGATTTAACCATTAATTAGTCAATACTATAATTGATTAATTGTTTTTACAATCAATAGATATATAAATGTAGATTTAGTGGCGATTGTATTATCGGTAAAACAAACCGCAGACTATGCAAGAAGTGTCGGCTCAAGAAGTGTTTCGATGTAGGCATGAAAAAAGTGATTACAAATTGATATTATTGTTATATTTCTTATTATCTCTAATTACAAACAATTAATTATAAAATTTAATTATTATTATTGTTATAAAGGAATGGATTCTTAATGAGGAGGAGAGGGAATCGCGAAGACATACAATTGAGACAAACAGAAAGTTGAGAAAAAATGGTTTGAAAGACACAAATAATAATAATAATGATTTAAATACAAACACTTCATCTGATGTGTCAAACATCGGGACAATTGACACTTCAGTTGACAATTCAATTGATAATTTATTTGATAAAACAAATAACAATACAATGAATGACATCACAATAGATGATGAGATCACTGAATGTATTACACAAATGGCAAACATTGATCCAAACGAGATAATAGATGGAATAGATTTATACGAAATGTCTATGAAATCTACGAACAATAATGTAATAATTATCACAGATTTGGATCAAATTAAAAATCTTTGTATCAGTGATGACACCAACTCTAACTCTATGGCAATCGACATATACAGCGCTAATAATACAATGAAGAGATTAATTGACTTAAATTGTTTTAATAATTATGAGCGAAATCGTCTAGATGAATTATTTAGTCTATCATTATTTGACAAATCGTACC